ATTATACCTCGACAAACAGTAGAGAGTTATCATCCGCGTATCAACCAGAAACGGAACGAAGGTGGCGATGTTTCACCCCTCTATCCAGCAACGGACCAGTTCACGTTAAGGGTGACAAAGTCCACGCTGTTGATGTTTGGAGTACCGGTAGGCATAACAAAAGCATGGGACTGATACAAGCAAGCCAGACCAATGGCTGCAGCTGTTTCTATCGTGTGCCTGAGCGTAACGCGCGCCTAGGGCAAGGTAGAGGGGAGGATTTGCAGGGATGCGCTTGAGGGGAGACGCACAGAGCGAATGACATAAGCGTCGGATGGGGTGAATGTCCGCCCTGGCCAGGCCAATCACAAGAGGACCGTCTCCGTACTGCGCCTGCTCAATCTCGCATGCTTCTTCAAACCACCACCGTGTGCTCTCCTTTGCCAGATTCCATGTGATCTCGACAAGTCCGCGACTGACGCTACCTGGACGCCGTGTGCTTCTCCCGGCCATCGCCCCTCGTCACCTGTACCAGCGATCGACTCACCCAATCAAGCCATTGCGAGCTGTCCACGCGCAACTTCCACCGAGCCACACTACGGCGCAACATGAGGTAGCAAGCACGGCATGGAGAACGTGATACCCGACGACTCGCCGCTGGCCGAGTTCCTTGAAGGTACGCAGCTGGCTGCCGTGGTTTGCGAGGAGCCCACCACTTGAACTAACACGATGCTAGGCAAAGGCCGCGGAGGCTCTCGTCCATCGTCACCAACGCTCTCCCACTCCTCCGACTCCCCCAGCTTCGCCCCTCGAGGCCCCTCCACCCTGCAAACGCGGATTAGAGACAAGTTGCCACAGCCACTGCGGATCCACGAGCGCCATGGCTCTATTGCGCGCATTCATACGGCATGTTCGGTGGGTCCGCCGAGTCCGGTATCGCCTGGTTACATTTGCTGACTGAATGGAATGCGTAGAAGGCAGTAAACTCGCGGCTTGGGCGCGCAGATAACGAGCGCTTCCTCGAACATTTTCGCTATCTTGTAGTCGCCTCGCAGCTCTTGGGCGAGCAGGGCAGCTTGCGCACCTCATCTATTCCCAGCTTCGCAGCCCACGGACGTGCGGGCCCGCAAGAGTTCAAGGCCGCAACCATAAGCCCTGCTGGCGCAGCTCTCACAGGATCGACCGCCTTCATTCTGGTATGGCTGGTGCATTGGTCGCGCCGCCAGGCCCGATTCAGCAAGGGAAGAGCCACGCTGGTGGTGATGGCATTCGCGGTTGTTGCGACCGCCGTCTACACCTACATGCGGCGCCAGTGGCTGCAGTATTTACGCCAGGAAGCGGTGGAAGGCGCATCTGCTCTGGTCACAAATCTACAGGCATTTGAGGCCTCAACTTCGTCGGCGCTTGCGCTGATACAAGAGGTGGAGCTGGTATCACGGGGCTACCGACTGTATGTCCGCTTCCCCGCGTGTGCCACCTTCCCACTGACATGACACATAGTAGTTGCCCCTTACCTCCCATCTCAAGGATGGAAGAGAGAGGGCAATCCAGGCGCTGCCAGCGGCTGCGACGTAATCTCCAAGCAGCTTTCGCCGAGGTCATACCCATTCTCGCTGAGCAATGTGGTATTCTGAAACAACTCATACAAGAGGACGATCTGGAAAAGTATCTCGATGTCTACGAAATCAGCAACCCTGATTTGCAAGAAGCGGCGCAGGGTTATTCTGCATCTGAATTTGACGACGCCGAAACCCTCAAAGCGCTGCGAACCCTGCAATACCGCCTGTCTACCCTGCGAAGAGTCTATCTCTGCTCACTCTTAGCTCTTGAAGCAGACGGTGGGAAGCCGGATTTCTCTCGATGGTCAAGTGTTGTAGAGTCGATGCTGAGCCTAGCTCGACCGGTCGGTCAGTGGAGCGAGAAATTCAACCGTGTACTGAGTGAGGAAGAGCAGTTCATACTACCTTCACCCAACAAAATAGCACCAACACCAGGCCGAGAGAAGATTCGCAACTCAGTCCGCAAACTATCAGGACTATCACAGGGCATTCGGGGGCTGCAAGCTAAAATGCAAGTGCTGAGAGAAGAAACAAATCGCAGTTTGGAAGACACAGAAGATGTCACAGAGCTTGGTCATCACCTCATGGCACAATACGACTCCATCGGCGCTGATCTAAAGAGCCTGATGCAAGCTTGGGAGGTTGGTAAGAACGCTCTTGCACTTAACATTGATAGACAAGAACGGCGCATCTCCTTGGCCTCATCAAGTGGTTTGCGCTCCCCTGTCCCAAGCTTGGGCGGCTTAACGGCCGTTGATGAAGGCAGTCCATCCGATGCGCTCCGTGCGCTGAATGGGGGTCTGTTAAGTCCCCAGCAGAGCGCTCCGTCTAGCGACCAGGGAAGTACATCGGACGATGAAATCTTCGAAGCCATCGCCATTCCTAAAACGCGAGCCACCATGTCGCGAGAAGAAAGAATGCAAAAAATACAGGATGACCGGGTACGGCAAGCATCATTACGCGAACAGCGCGAATCAAATACCAACATGTTAAGAGAGCTCGAATCAGTCATCAACCTACGGCCGCACAGAGCTACAGGGCATGGTGCGCGAGTCACGAGCCTATGATCGTCTTTCTCTTTTTGTCGTTCACTATCGTCAAACTTATTGCCATCTGTTAAGGTCTCCTATCTTGTCCTTTGATCCTACCTTAATCTCCTTTTGTCATCTGGCGTCTATTCTGGGCATTTGGGTTATACCACCACTGCGCGATCGTTTCATTTCCTTAATGTCATCAGAAGCCCATTTAGGCTTAAAAATTCCAACGTATATACATCGCATAAACCATGAGACAGGCACATGTCATAGGTACATAAATTTCCGCTATCGAAATAAACAGATATTGACAAGAACTCTGATCTCCAACGCCATGTCAACTTCACACCTTGACCTAGTTGATCTGACTTCATTGGCTCCCTTTACACATTTGCCGTGGCCATCGCAGCTCAACGTGATCTTCTAAAGAGTACGGACCTATGCTGGGTGTCCCATAACTGGTAGCCCTTGATAGCTGACATGGTCGATAAATGTCTACATGTTCACTCAGTGAAGGCTCACATCAAGCCCCCTAAACCATTCCACTCTTATATATAGGTCTTCAAGTGTAGCTTGGTAGTCCTATACTATGGCTACGATGTCACCAACTCCCCCTAGCTTGCTTGTTGAAACAGTCATGCCCAAGGTCTTCTGTTTCGGCTGTCCAAAGTCGCTTCCAAGTGACGATGCGCAGACAGAAACGTTCAAAGCGTCGGAGTCATGTCCAAGGTGCACTGGATATTATGTTGCGATCGCTGCTGCTAGTGAAGTGATCGGCCCGCTTTGTCATATCGGAAAGGTGCTACCTATGTACCGTGGATCAGGGAAGGACTAGTCAACGTCGAACGGCCAGCCAGGAGCCCCTAGTTCGTTGGGCGCGAACTCACTACATCATATCCATCTCTTGCAAACCATGTAATTCTCAAGCTCCATCACGAATTGACTTGTTGTCCTTTTGTCCTTCAGCTGCGACCACGAGATCGTACGAATATAGAAATCGTGTCGGATATAACTAGACGCGTCGGTGACAAGCACGAATTCCTCCGTTAGCTTCAGGTACCTACCCAAACAGCCTTGGCTGCTCCTCGAACCTCTAGGAAACGAACACGTCCTACCCGGCAACATACACATAAGCCGACATGTCTTCAGGAATTCACAATGGTGGTTGGAAAGCGAGCATAGATCACGCTGCTCTTGATACGCGGGCGCTTCAAAACCATCATCTCGATCTACCACCGACTACCGGTATCTCCCAGAACATACCGGTACCCGACCTCACCACAAATTTCCTCGCCTTTAGGTCCCTCAAGAGGAGCACCGTGTCGTCTACGCATATGCACCTTGAGGCCATCGGATCGCGAATACACTCGTGTGCAACCTTGCATCTGGCAGTGGTACCTCGTCTTTGCTCTACCAGAGCCTTTACAAACTCGAGACTTCTGGTGGCGGGTTAGATTGCCATAGGCATGCGTGCCTGTCAGG